ATCAGAAAATTGAATCTCTTTTCATCCAGGGCCTTTGTGAAAATATCAGCCAGTTGCAATTCCGTAGACACAAAGTACATGTCCACGGTGCCTTTCTCAACGTGATCCTTTATGAAATGATATCTGAGATCAATATGCTTCGTCCGGGAATGATGGACAGGATTGCACGTGATGGCTATTGCACTTTGAGAGTCGCTGTAGATCGGGATGTGTGAGAATGTGAACCCGTAGTCTTTCAGCTGGGTCCTCATCCATAATATCTGTGAGCAACAGCTAGCAACCGCGACATATTCTGCCTCAGCTGTAGAAGTGGACACACAATTCTGCTTTTTGGAGGACCAGCACACCAACTTATCACCAAGAAATTGAGCACCACCAGATGTACTCTTTCTGTCCAGTTTGCAAACCGCAAAGTCAGCATCTGAGTATCCAACAAGGTCAAAACCTGATTCCTTGGGATACCAAAGGCCCAGATTGACTGTTCCTTTGAGATATCTCAGTATTCTTCTAACAGCATTCAAATGTGATTTCTTCGGATTTGCTTGAAAGCGGGCGCATAGGCAGGTTGCAAAGACAATATCTGGTCTACTAGATGTAAGGTACAGCAAGGAACCGATGATAGCCCGATAATTGGTAGCATCGACTGGTTTCCCGGAAGGGTCAGAGTCGAGCTTCTGTGAGGGAGACATGGGGGTTTTCATCGTCGATTTGCTGTCCATTTTGAAGCGCTTTAGCATATCGTGGATGTACTTGGACTGATTTATGAATATTCCGTCTGGCATTTGCTTGATCTGAAGCCCTAGAAAGAAGTTCAACTCTCCCATCATACTCATTTCGAACTTGGTACACATCAGGTTGCTGAACTTTTTACAGAAGTTTGGATTCGACGAGGCAAAGATGATGTCGTCAACATAAATTTGTATCAGCATGATGTCACCCTTGTGTCTTTTGATGAAGAGGGTTGGATCTATCTTTCCCTTCGAGAAGCCTTATTCCACAAGAAAATCTGATAGTGCTTCGTACCAGGCTCTCGGTGCTTGTTTCAGACCATACAAGGCTTTTCTCAGTTTATATACATGACTGGGGCGTTCAGGATCAACAAAGCCGTCAGGTTGTGCAACGTAGACTTCTTCTTTCAGATCTCCATTCAGAAATGCTGTCTTTACATCCATTTGATACACTGCGAAGCTCTTGTGTGCAGCATAAGCAAGGAATAATCTGATCGCTTCAATTCGTGCCACTGGTGCAAAGGTTTCATCGTAGTCGATTCCTTCTTGTTGATTGTAACCTTTTGCAACCAGGCGGGCCTTGTTTCTCACGATCACACCGTCTTCGTCTTTCTTATTTTTGAAGACCCACTTGGTGCCAATAATGGTTTTCTTGTACGGCCTTGGCACCAGGGTCCACACTTTTAATCTTTCAAACTGGCTCATTTTCTCCTGCATCGCAATCACCCAGTCCGGATCAGCCAATGGGTCAGTTATCTTTTTTGGTTCTTTCTGACTCAGAAAACATGAGTATAAGCATTCATTGACTGATGCCGTTCTGGTTCTGACTCCTTGAGATGGATCTCCAATTATCAGTTCTGGCGGATGTGCTCTAGTCCACTTTCTCTCGTGCTGTAGAGGCTGTGGAGTTATGATTGGATGATCAGGGTCAGAAAATTCTTGTTCTGGTTGTACTTCTGGGGTTTCGTGCGTTGCAGCTTCTTCAGGTTGATCATTAACAGGAGAGGTTGGTTCATGTTCAGCTTCATTTTCTGTGTGTTCATCATCATTCTGAGTAGGAGTGTTGGTTTCTTCAGTGGTTGGAGCAGGTAACAGGGGGTGCTGAGTGGTTGTAGCATTTGTAGTTGGTGGTGCACGTGGTTGGCTGTAGAAGTGCTCAAAAAGAGAATCTAGAACCACATGCTCATCTGATCTTATCTCACCTCCCTGCCCTCCTACTCCAGAAGATGATGGAGTTTCATTGTCTGCAGAGGGTGATGGTTCAGAATGAAAATGTTCAGAAGCCAGATCCGCCATTTCATAGAAGCTCACATTGATACTCTCCATGACCGTTCTTCTGTCTTTCAAGTATACTCTGTATGCCTTGGAATTGGTAGAATACCCAATGAATATCCCTTCATTTGCTTTTGGATCAAGCTTCCCCCTAGCATCCATGTCGTTCATAATGTAGCATTTACAGCCAAAGACGCGGAAGAAGGCAATGTTAGGGAGCCGCTTGAACACGATCTCATAGGGCGTCTTGTCAAATCTTTTGTGGATCACCGTTCTGTTCTGTGTGAAGCAAGCCGTGTTAATAGCTTCCGCCCACATGAAGTGAGGAAGCTTTGACTGTATCAGCATTGTCCTGGCTGCTTCCACCAAGGTTCTGTTCCGTCTTTCTACAACACCGTTCTGCTGTGGTGTCTTAGCTGCAGAGAACTGTTGAGTAATTCCCTGAGCTTCATAGAATTCGGTCAGTTCCTTGTTCTTGAACTCCGTCCCGTTGTCAGTTCTGATGATCTTCACATTCTGCTGTAGATAGTTCTGTATGGTCTTGATGAACGTCATGATTAAGTTTGCAGTTTCGTCCTTGGAGCGCAAAAACTTGGTCCATGTGTAGCGTGAGTAGTCATCCACAATTACCAAAGTATATTTGCGTCCACTGATGCTATGCACGCGCATCGGACCACACAGATCCATATGAAGTAGCTCCAGGGGACGAGATGAGGAGGGAAATTGTTTTGACTTGTGTGACGCTCTCCTCATCTTTCCCAAATGACATGCAGAACAATGATGGTTGGGGGAGTTCTTCAGAACAGGCAATCCTTTCACCAACTTCTTCGAGGAGAGGGAACTGATGGCTGGCAGATTCAAGTGTGAGAGACGTCTGTGCCATAGATTACTTTGTTCTTCAGATGCTTTGGACAAGAGACAGATGGATATGGGGGATCGTACCGATTTCAGATCAATGGTGTAGAGATTGGTTTTCCTCTGACACCTTAATAATGGTGTCCCACTCATATCCATCACACAACATTGCCTAGCATGGAATCTCACTTCCATTCCATTATCACAAAATTGGCCGATGCTAAGCAAGTTGTGTTTCAGTCCTTGCACATACGATACGTTTCTGATTGTGACGCTCTCACAGATGACATCTCCTATCCCAAGTATGGGCGATGAAGCATTGTTCCCAAACCTCACATTTCCTCCAAACCTTTCAGAATAGTTGCTTAGTAGTTCAATCTGTCCAGTCATGTGTGACGAGCAACCCGAATCAAGATGCCACACATGACTGACCTGCAAAACAGATTAGTTTCGCTTAGGTACCCATCACCAGATGGGTCCTTCCTTATCAACAGTGAGCAATTTTTTCAACTTCTTTTTGATTTGGGATCCTAGGCTGGCTGGTTGAGAAGAATTTTTCATTTTTAATTGTTCTGCTTCAGCCTTAGGAACCCATTTTTGTTTTATTTGGTTGATTTTTGGAGCGAGGGAACTTTCATTTGTCCTAAGTGATTGTTCAGATAAATGGTCTTTCAAGATTGGTTCACGTGATAGCCTTCTCAGATGTTTGACTGAGTGAATCTTGAGAGGATACTTTAAAAATGGCAATTTGACCTCACTCTCAACATTCACCCTATCAATCTTGGGCTTATTTGCAACATTCTTAACAATCACAGGATCATTTCTTTTGCAAGAAGAAACAGACTCAAAACAACAACATTTCATTGATTTAATGCAATTCAGAGAAACACATTTAGTACAGCGATTCGAGACAGAAATCTTAGAACTAGAAGACTTAGGAGCCACTCTTTTAGCATAACTAGTAGAAGGCTCACTAATGCTAGAACTAGACTTATTCTTAACATAAAATATGGCGCTCGAGTGCTCGACCGCTGACACTTATTTCTTAATCTCGACTCTTCTTCTCTCTTCTTCTTTCTTATTTTGTCTTCAATCCACTCTCCTTTCCTCTCGACTCTCTTCTTCACATGTTTCCCTGTCGGAGAATGAGACTTGGGATGAGAAGAGGAAGTCTTACAACTATCGCTTGAATTTTCAGAAGTGTTTTCAGAACAAGAAGGGGAAGAGGGTTGAGAAGCTGTGTTAGACTGAGAGGCGGTTTTCAAGGAGGTTATTTCTTTTAAAAGTTCATCCTTTTCTTTTTCTAAAACCTGCTTTTCCTTTTCAAAAGATTCTTTTAACTCAGCAAACTTTCTCACCAATGGTGGAATGTAAGCTGGTTTCTCAATTGGTTCAGATGTGGAAGCCTCCTCTCCGTCTTTCACAGCTTCCTTTTCAGGAGGATAGGTCAAGATTTCTTCAGCTGGGGTCAAAGGGAGTGCTTTGGTTTTGTAGCTCTTGTTTAACTCTGTGTAGTCAAAAGGAACCTCGACACCAGCCTTAGTCTTTCTCTTTTCATCCTCGAGGGCATTCGTTTCTTCAGCACCAGTGAAGGCCATGAGTTTGGTCAAACCTATCTTCATGTATTTAACATCATAGAGTTGTCTACAATTGACCTTTTTCAGGTTCTGAGGATTGGTCAAACCCAAGCCTTCTTTGGCGTTATAGAAACGAGTGTCCTTAGGCTGGTTAAGGAAAATAGTCTGATCTGTTTGGTCCCTTTTGGCTAACAGATCCTCAAGTTCTTTGATCTTAGTATAAAGAGCACCCCTTCTTTCCATTAGCAAATTATTGACGCCAAAAAGCCTAATTCTCTCTTTCTCAGTTGTTATAAGCTTCTCTGTCATTTCCTTTTCGCTAGCACTAAGTCTCTTATTTTCAGTTGTGAGCTTAGTGATTGTTTTCTCTGAATTGATTATCTTAATGTTTGAGCATGTCTAGAAGTAGGTCTTTGCAAGTATGGAATCGGGCAAGTGTTGAAAGATCGCTTAACTTTACAAAGATTGCTCAACTTCTAAAAAATCGCTCAACACTCAAAAGATCACTCAACTTTACAAAAGATCGCTCAACTTTACAAAGATCGCTCAACTTTTACAAAAGATCGCTCAACTTTTACAAAAGATTGCTCAACTTTACAAAAGATCGCTCAACTTTACAAAGATCGCTCAACTTTATAAAGATCGCTCAACTTTTACAAAAGATCGCTCAACTCTCAAAGGATCGCTCAACTTGCTAAAAGATTGCTCAACAACAAAAAATCCTAAGTCCAAATCGCTCAGCCTCCAAATCGCGCAACAAGAGGATCGCTCAAGTGTAGAGATCGCTCAAGTTTGAGATCGGGCAGGTATGTTGCGCGAAGTTCAGATCGCGCAGGAGCTGTTTTTGCGCTATGTTGGGATCGCTCAACCTGTGAAAATAAAGGTGCAAGTCCAAGTTCGCGCAGGAAGAGTTGCGCGATACTCGAAATCGCGCAGGAGTGTAGTTGCGCGTTCCTGTTCTTCGTTCCGAAGGAGTTGCGCGAACTTTCAGGATTGCTCAACTCTCGCTTAGCCTGTACGCTGAGTTTCAGGGTGCAATTTTCTCCAGGAATGATCCCTGCAAGCCTAGAAACACTTCCCTTCAAGCATTTTCCTGCAAAAGTAACAACAAAAACAGAACCAAAAATCGCTCAAGTGCAAAACTTCAATGATGATGAATCGCGCAGGAGCGTTTTTCAGCCTTCAATCGATCGATCAGCTCCGGCTCTGATACCAGATGTTAGGTCCCTGTTTTTCTAGTCTAGAATGTATGTATGGAAGATAGATCTATGATTTGAAGCTTTCCATTGATGTGAAGGTTTTACAGAATGATATGAAAGTTTAGCGTGAAACCTTACACGAGAATAGGCATTGTGGCACTAGGAATGTGTTGAAAAGCTTAACCTAGCCTTTCCCTTAAGGCATATATATAGCCTGACGGGAAAGGTAGGTTTTACAATCATTTGGGCTCCTTTTTCTAGGAGGCCCATACCTAAAAAGGCATGAAAGCCTTTATTACAAATTGCCTTAAAAGGCCTATTCATTATTCTAGCTAGTCTATTTATTTATTTCAACTAACTACAAAAGCATAAGTAACATTGATCACAATACAATGATAATATCTCTAACAATCATTAATAAGCATGACAACTAATGCACTGAGTAGGCAAAACTCTGTTCTCAAAACCCTAGTGGATCATTGCATGATTGAGCCAAGTTCATTATCACACTAGATTTGGATGATCCAAGGTTTTTACATTCAATGGGTACAGTGATCTTTTCTTTCTAAATTTGAGTATTTTCTAAGCATACTTTCCATACCATGACAGTAAAATATGTCAATTTCCGTTTGCAATAGAATTGTTATTTTTCATATTATTCAATTGGCAATTGTAATTAAGTTATAGTTGTGATTCATACAAGTTCAAGTAGAGAATCTCACCTTCTGTGGTTTTGATAGTAGTTATCAAGCTGATAATAAACATATATTGGAGCCTTCATGTGCTTAGGAACCTGTAAAGGAAAATGCAAACAAAAAGTTAACAGAATGCAGGGTAAAATAAATGTAATATAAAACCCATGATTTGAGTCTCGAGCATCATTTGCAATTAGAAATCTTGTCCTTGTTTCTTGAGATTTGAGTCTCAAGCACCATTTGCAATTGGCCCTTTCGGTCTTGAATATACATTTCAAAACGTATTTTTTGCTCATAAATAAAATGTTTTGAATATTCTTGTAAACTCTTTGTCCTATTTGATCATATGGATCTATATGGACGACAATGTTTTATTTAGTATGCTTGTTGACTGATACAATGTTACAAAGAAATAACCTTCAAGTATCGGGTACAATTTTTGGAAACTGAGTCATCTTTGATATATGCCACTTTGCTGTTTCTAAATGGTACAGGTACACACTCAGTATCATACCCATCAACAATTTCAACAACCTGCAATACAAACATAATTACCCTCAAGGTAGTATGGAGCAAGAAGATAAAGAAAACTCCAGATTACTATCGCTAGATGTTAAATAAAACTATTACACTTTGTGAAGTATGAAGGAAGAAAAGCCCCATGGGAATAAAGATGAATCCTATGATGAAAAATGTTGAAATAACCTGCAAGGATGATAGAGCAAAGGATCACAATAGTAACATACCAAATACCAAAGCATAGAATTTTGATTGCCTACCCATGCCGGTGTTAAAACAGGTTTACAGGCTGGGAGATTTTGTTGCGTAAACTGGTACACAGCTGCAAGTTATGAATGAGTTTCAATAAGGAAGCAATTAGGATTAGTAACTTTGATCAACCAACTTCAGCAAAGATATATATCATTTGCAAGTCATGGAAATAAAGAAATGCCAACTACAGATCCTATCAGTGTCAAACATAAGAACTATGTAGCTGTTTCAACTCCAAAAAACTTGGTAAAATCTTCTAAAATATTCAAGAGCTCTGAAAATTTTAACAACTTCCTATACTTCCCATATTTGTCCTAAGCCTGCTGTCTTTACTGAAACAACCACTCTCATCCTAGGGATAGAGGTAAGGAGTGTACACATCACCCCCTGGACCCTGCCACCCAGTGGGACATACCGGTATGTTTGGTTTGGTTTGGTTTGGTTTAGTGTGATACAAAATGGTATTGGTACCTCATAGTCAGTCTCCTCCTGAAGTCCATACAGTAGGAGGTGCGCATAGATTGACCAATGCTGCAGACTTTTGCGTAGTTGGCAGATTATATTGTCATGGGCAGACTACTTTAGTTGAAGTTACATCGTCATTTTGAGAGTTCAATTACCATAACAGTTAACATTAATTCAAACAATATTTTTATCTAAATGTAAGCTGAAGCAAAAGAAACTCAAGAATCAGTAAGGACTTGCCTTTTCTCCAGCCTCGATAAGGAACTGCAGAGGAACTACTGGGCTCATCCATTCAATTCAATATTTAAATAATCCCTGAACGAAAAAATGGAGAAGAATATAAAGGAAAAGAAAGCAAACTGGACTTAAAACTTAAAATCGCATGGAGATTGATCTGCACAAATACTTTCTTGAATCGAGCAGGAAAATGAGCAGCGGCGGTAAAAATCAATTCAAGATGAAAGGAAATTCAATAAAGCCTGAGGTAAAAAGCATCAGAATTTCAGTTTTCACCTGAAATGAAATTGTATCTTGGGAGAAATGCTACTCCCTCCGTTTTTATTTAATCTTCACACTTTGACTTCACACAAAATAAGGAAAGAAATTTGACTTTACTGTAGAGTACACTGTTGAGGCACTGTTTGGCACTATAGAGACACTGTTTGGCACTGTTGAGACACTGTTTGACACTGTTTGATATAGATTTCTTTGCCAAAAAAGGAAATAAGGAAGTGTGAAGTTTATTTTAGACCGTCCCAAAAAGGAAAGTGTGAAGTTTATTAAAAACCGGAGGGAGTATTAGATATTCGCAAGAGAGGGCAAACAAGCGTTGAAAGGTAACGAATTTCAAAAGAAAAATATCCTCTGGTAAGAGAAAAGCACTTGAAAGTAGGGGTGGGCATAATGCCCAATTATTAAATTTGAGCCCCTATATCGTACACCGGGTGTACGTACCTCCGGCCCAATTATTAAATTTGACTGGTGGGCTTGCATCTTGTCCCAACGAATCACAATCATAAGGAACTGTATTCCTTCACTAAAAAAATTAAAATCCCCAGCGGGATTCGATCCCCAGACCCGAAGTAAGGTATGCAACCTTCCAACCATCTCAGTGACTTTTCTTGTTGAGATAATTAGTTCTTTTATCTTACTTATCAGTTATCATATATAGTTTCATACTGCGTTTTATTAATAGTAATTATAATATTAACTATTCTTTTGCTTTTGGTCATTATTACTATATTAAAAGACTAATTCATATTTTTGAAGTATTTATTTGATCTATGAATCATACTATTACTTTATATAAATATATTTATAATTTTTTTTATATAGTGTTAGGTTCCTAATAAGCCTGATGCTCATCAAAAGTGTTTTAATGCTCATAATAGGTCTGATGAACATTAAAAGTTCATTAATGCTCATTTAACAGAAACTGTGATTTTCATCGCAATAGAAACTGTGATTTTCATCTCATTGATATGACATTGTAAAAATGAGCATAACATGAGTACCAAATGAAAATACATAACTTAATTACAAAGTGCACATTGATATGAAAATTGTAAGGTTTGTTAGTTGAACATCATGACATTTTAATTGAGCATCCAACCTCCACTATTGAGATGAAAATCACGACTTCTGGAGAATGAGTAATAATGAACTTTTAATGAGCACCAGACCTATTCTGTTGAGCTTACTGAATACACAAATTGATATTTAAGCATACTCGAGATTTTAAATGAGCTTTTAAAATTTTTCTATGCTCATTTCGTAAATTAGCTATACTCATTTGATATTGGTGTAATGCTCATTTTAAAATGAGCATTACACGAGACAACTTAAATGTCATATCCATGCATATTGGCGTAATGCTCATTTTGAACTTTTTGATACTCATTTCACACGTTATGTATTCACATTTAATATTTGATCATCAAACATCTGCTATTGAGATGAAATTCACGATTTCAGGTGAATGAGCAATAATAAACATTTAATGAGCACCATACCCAATCTGTTGAGTATTAGGAGTCTAATATTGAGAATCGTGATCTCCACTTCATAACTTCTAATTCACTTTCTTTTTGTTATTTTTTCTTTTATAAAATCTTATTAAATTATATTTATAATCAACTCCTGTGAATTTCAATATGTGAATTAATGTAAAATAGTACCTTAAAAAATGCATTGATATGACATTTAGAAAATGAGCATAAGATCTCTACCAGATGAGCATACGTAACTTACAAAATGAGTATTAATGAATTTGTTAGCTGCTTTGTTATTCGAACATCACGACATTTTCATTGAACATCCTCTATTGAGATTGATGAAAATCACGATTTCTGTAAAATGAGCATTAATGACTTTTCAATGAGGATTCGACCTATACAAATGAGCATATGTAACTTACAAGATGAGCATTGATATGAAAATTGTAAGTTTTGTTCGTTGAACATTTTACACACGCATTGATATGCCATTTTACATATGAGCATAAAATTAGTACCAAATGAGCATGTGTAGCTTACACAATGCGCATTGATAAAAAAATCGCGTTAATTGGACATCACGATATTTTCATTGAGCATCAAACCTCCTATATTGAGATGGAAATAATGATTTGTATTAAATGAGCATTAATGAATTTTTAATGAGCATCAGACCTATACAAATGAGCATATGTAACTTACAAGATGAGCATTGATATGGAAAGTATAAGTTTTATTCGTTGAGCATCAAGACATTTTCAATGAGCACCAAACCTCCGTTATTGAGTATTAGAATCTGCGATTGAGTATCATGATTTGTGGTCTCATGTCTATAATCAACTCTTATATAAATCTAATAATGTAATATGAGACTTTTGAAATGTGCATTGTTAAAACATTTTAAAAATGAGCGCAACAGAGATACTAAATGAATATACATAATTTAATTACAAAAATGAGTATTCGAAAATTCAAAAGCTCATTCATGTATGTTCACTTTTTAGGCGTTTTACTCATTTGAGTTTAAGGTAAAACTCATTTCTAATGTGCTCGGTATAATATATATAAAAAGAAAAGAAGTAAACAACAAATAAAGAAAGTAAAAGAAGTAAAAAAAAGAGAAAGTAAAATCAACCAGCAAAAGTAAAGAAAATAAAAAACAAAAAGAAAAAGTAAAACATAAAAGAAACGAAGCAGTTCAACCAAAAAAAAAAACGAAGCAACGAATGAATACAAAAAAAAAAGAGTAAGGAAGCAGCGGATAACACATGGATGAGCCGCTGAAAAAAAAAGGGGAATTAAAAAAAAAGCAGCGGCCAACGACGAGCGTGAGTGGAGCACGGAAGGAAGAAGCTCAGGCTATTTAATTACAAAAAAACCGGGTGTACATACACCCGGATGTACCATATAATTTGCCCTTGAAAGTAGGGGTGGGCATAATGCCGAACCGAACCGGCACCGAACCGTCCCGTAATGGTACCGAACCGAATGCCAGGTATTTAAACGGTTCTATATATTTTTGTCCCGTACCAAAACTGTACCATTTGAAATGGGTACGGGACTGGTCCTAGATTTTGAGAACCGAAAAATACCGGACCGAACCGTTTGAAAATAATGTACTTGAAATTTTTATTTTTTTTCTATACTAATTCAATAGATCTCTTTTATAGACCAACAATTTTATAGCCCAAGTGTGTATTTATGTGTCCTTAAAATAGCTAAATGTGTTGTTTATATATAATACTACGTATATATATTGTTATTTTTTCTTTTCTGATAATTTATGTTATATTTTGGTATGTATTGAAAGAATATTAAAATTTTAGAGAAATCATGTTGTATCATGTTTGTTCAATTTTACAACTTAATTAATATGGTTTAAATCTTAGCTCTCAATTCTCAAGGTTCAACTATAAATTAAATTAGAACTACGGAGTAATATTTAACCTAGAATGAAAAAGAAGAACGTTGAGGATTTCTATTATATTCAACAATTTGATGATATTCTTTTTTATATTTTCACATGAACTAATTTAAGTTAATTAAGGATGATATTTATCTCGTGCGTCATCGTTTTGCTATACTCTTTCTTACTTGTGTTGCACTATTTGATTATTTGTGAATTTTAGTCCTATATATGCAATTTCTTGAATTTATATCAACATTTCATGTGAGTTGGTTGGTGTGACGATATCTACTAATTGCAAGATTTGATCAAAATTTTTAGCATGTGTGGCATTGTACCGTACCGTTTTGTACCATTCCGAAATGACATGATACCGAATGGTTCCATCCTTGAAACCGGACCGTTAAAAACCTCACGGATACATTACGAGTTTTACTAATTTACCGGACCGTTCCGGACCGCGCCCACCCCTACTCGTAGAAACATATACTCGATATACGTACACTTCCACCGCAGAGGTTCAGCATCAAATGCAACGAGATTGCTTCTAGAACGGTTTCCTTGATTCTCTAGCATAGAAATTCGGAAGGGAAATGTTGAAAAATGGGGAGTGTTGACTGCTGAGTTTGATTGATTTTTCCTTTATGTTTTTCTATGGGAAAATAAATTTTATTACGTAGTACGGAGTAAAAGATAACAAGCGAAAAATAAAAAATACTCACAATACAGAAAGTGCAAGGAACAAAGAAGACAATAAAAAAGAAACTCCAACCCAAAGTACAACAATAAATCCCTTCCTAGAAAAACCCTTGTAGTTTAGACAGGTTTTCATATCTCCAAAATTTAGGGGCCTATGATTTTTAAAATAAGAGCTTGTAGGTTAGTATGAAAATCGGCTTATTTGGCTGATTCTACTGAAATCATATTTGCTCTAGACGGCCTTGATATTTTTGCTCTAGACGGCCCTGATATCTCCAAACGTGATTAGGATCTAGTCCTTATAAGATGCGATCGTTGATTCCTTTTCTTGTACGTGTTTTTTTAGTATTTAAATTATGTGTAGGCAAGGAGTTCCCCGGTGTAACTAACAAAGCTCTATAACATATATCTTGATTTGAATCAGAAGCCCAAATATCTTCAATTTTCGAGATAGGAATCCTCTTTTCATTCTCCGGGACATGACTAGGAAATTCATCCTCCGAAAATGAGTCAACCGGATCACCAAAGACTCCCTCACATACTTCGTATTACGGAGCATTAAATCTCTTTTTTCTGTCCTTTCATGGGCTCTTAATCCGTTATTTTAGGTTATTTAGGTATTTTCTTCTTTGCAACCTCCAAAATCCCCAACCCCAAAGACCTCCACGTCCGGATTTGACTCGATCGGCTCAATGGTGGGAGACCTTATATCCGTGTGCACCAGAAGTCCATCCCCAGCGTGCAGGAGTTGACATCCACATGGTCGCTGCGGGTTTCAAATTTTGGCTGTTTCTCCTAATTTCTCACCATTCAGTCAACTAAGCTACACGTGTGGATTTTTCTCTTTAAAAGTTTTTCCTTTTTTCTCCATAAAAGTTTTCTCTTTTTATTTTTATCCTATTGACTCTTTTATTCTTTTCTTCATCTTCTTATTCATATTTATTAAATTTTGGCATTTACTAAATAAAATTTACATATTTAGAAACTACATTAAAACCGCTACAAAGTATTAAAGTCCCACACCGGATATCTCTGAAAGAATTGAACGCTACATGATCTCTTCGTATTTTTCAATACGAACGGCCCACAACCCTTGCAAAGAGCCAACAGGAGCAGGCCCCAGGCTAAGGGGACGTTCATCTCCACAGATCAGGCGGGAAACCCAGATTCTGGCGGGAAGCGCATTTAATGCTCAAGATTTGGTGGTTGAGACATCAACTACTCAGTCTTCCACATCAGCATAGTCAACTGCCCATTGGTGGTATAAATAGTAGCATTTATTTCATTGTAAAGGGTTGACA